CTGAGTAGCTAGTGTTTAAAAAAGCTAATTGATGGTGTCTTTGATAGAAAATAAAACATAATTCCGTGTTCTACAAAAGGAAGATCGGGATTTTCAACGAATTTACTATTGTTACATTCAGTCAGCCAGCACAACACCGTTTAAGCAGTTGCTGCCAAGTGTTGGCAAGGGAAGCACTGAAATAACATATTACGGAATGTTTTCTTCTCAAAAATTCTTATTTTAACAATACGCTGTCTACATCTTTCGATCTGTTGACTGATCGTTATTCTTGAACCTATGGAAGCTGTTCTATGTTTATTTGTTGTTTGAGCAAGTTTTACTTCATAATTGCAAAGCAACATCTTGAATCACAACCTGGTCTCCGAAAACCAGAACCTTTTGAAGACAATGTTGTGTTTAGATTCTTAACCCGAACGACACGGTGTAATGTAGAGCTTCATTCGGACACGCAATGAATGTCCCGCCTAGAATTTAATTTGCTAAGCCCCCCTTAATATTGTACACACTAATTTCACGTTCAGTTATTCCGCAATAAAATCGTAGTACTCATCACTTATTTTCTCCATTTCTCGCGTATTTTGAAAGACGCAGAATCTTGGTCGGGAACCTTCCATCAGACTTATCCTAAGCTGAGTGCTGGCTCAGTTCGGTTTTTCTTGGTAACCACGGCAGCCACTCCACCCTACAAGGTACCGCGGCTTCGAACTGGCTGAACTCAAAATTACCTATCTTTTACCAACCAGTATATCCAAGGGTATGTGTTGACGCTAACCCATCAAGTTAGTGTAGCGTTTCGATAATTGTCGTTATACTGCCGGATACGTAAATTAACTAAATCTTCTTCCACCTCAAGGACAGCGCCAGAGGCAAATAAGTTGAGTAAGTGTATACTGACCGAATGGCGTTACTGCAACCCAACCTTCATGAATTACGAACTGACGACGGAAATTATGGCAACCCTATCACTAAAGCAACACTTCTAGCAACCTTACAAAGCTAAAGCAACTTTCGAAAAGCGCAATTTATAATAAAATACAAGTAAATGACGGTCTGTGGACCACCTCGGGACTAGTTTTGACGTGTTTTTGAAATTTAGAGAAATCAGATAAGTTCGCTCGACATCACACACTCATAAAGACACTCGCAGAAGGGCGCATAAGCGCGCCCGGGACATCAAGAACAACGGATCATGAACGACACTCGCAGGCGGGCGAGCTGGTGCGTGCTCGACTTATCGATCTCTCCACGATGAGACAGAAGCTGAGTAGATCAGCACAGGCCTGGCGATGACCATGCAGACTCAACTTGTGTGTCAGGACTGGAAGAGGAGCAAGAAGAGCGGTCCTACGAGCTGTCGGAGACTGTAGGTGGCAAAATCGACGAGGAGGCACTATCATTTGATATGGAAATATTGGTGAAGAAGCTAGCGAAGCAGAAAGAAGCATCACTGAGGTAGTAAACTGTACTGGGATTGGGAGACAAATATCTTTTATCTATCCTAATCGCTTCTGTAATAGCTCGTGAATTTGATGAGTTTTATCTGCGTGATACATCGATATGGAGCGGTCTTCGAAATGAGATACTACCATCCAGATCATTGTCAGGCGCATAACACTGACATCTCTCTCCGAAACTCTGTGTTCCTGTCGTCGCATACTTTCTAAAAGATAGCTGTACGCTTGTGCTACGACAAAGATGTCACAGCTAACGGCATCAGGCTGTTGTGGTGTCTCAATCCACTTCACCGGGCTTATTGTAATCTGGTACCCATTGGCAGTAGCACAATGCCAGCTTTTTACAAAGCCAATAAGACCTCCCTTCCCCTCACTCTCTTCCCCTCACTCTCTTCCACATCATTCTTTCCCTTGTGTTTCATAGTTCCTTCCCACAGCGCAATCATTTGTCCTCGATATTCTTCATCGATGAACGGTTCGTACATGAACACTTGCATCTGTAGCGTTTCCGTCGCGACATCGCGATACAGACCCACCATCATGAGACCCCAGTGATTTGGACTGAAATTCACTGGTTGAACAAAGAACTTTGTGCCGAGGATTGTTCCTTCGGTGTTGTTGATGTGGTGAAGTGACAGTTGGCTTCGGTGAGCGAGGGGCTGATGGATGGGATGTGACCCGATCCAGTCCCAGGACTCATGGTCGACGACGACGCGTCAAGTGATTACGTCATCACCGACAAGATTGCGCAATCGTCCGAGCTGATCGACATGGTGTAATCATTTCGATATATGATTTACTTCCAAAGGAGTCGATCTACTGTTGACGCATCAACTGATTTGTACCCATGGTAATTATCACGCGACCAGGCCAAAGAAGGGATAGTAGGAGCATCTATGGGATGGGCAGAAGGTAGTGGACCGCTAGGAGTTAAAGGAATAACATAGTGGAATTTGCCTTATATTAAGAACAAGTGTCTTCGGTACAAGATTTGAAAGCTGTAGCGGGAAGTATACATATTAGCCAATACAGTAATCAAGTTATTTCAACCAGATACACGTGTCAGTCGCCGGAGTTTGCAGCTTGGCCGGTCGATCGTCTTTACTCTCACCCTCAATTCCTCCGCTATAGGGAGCGGTCAAGCCTCGCAATGAAAGATACTAGACCCCCCCCCCCTCAGTAAAGGAATAACACACCCCAAGTCGATCAAGATCGACGAGTTACCTGGCGCGTATCCTGAAGAGTATCCACGCTATGCCACCCCCACCATCCTGCGTCCCGCCAAGACGGAGCCAGCCCGCCAAGCTTCCCTTCAAGTCCACCAGAGGAGCGTAACCAGCCCCGCCGACGGGTACCCAAGGTGAGCCCTCAGCAACCCCACGGTTATCGGAGTACCCCCTCCGTTAGTCGGTAGTCCAGGGCACTGTGTGTCAGAGTGGATCACAACGTGATTTTACGACCACCACTTCATCACATTGGCCAGCCAACCTCTCCCAGCAAGGTTGAAAGCATGAACGACTGTCCGATTGACCCTACCATTGCCTCCAGACAGAAACTACAGCGCTATTGTTCAGCCAACCCCAACATAGAGCACCAATTATGTTATCAAATCTGACCCACAGCGTTTTTGAACGCGCCACAAATGTAGTACGCAGTGGGCTGGATGCAACCTTCGAAATAATGTCATTGGCGAGATCTTGGTGCCGGATACGGACAGCTTCCGGTGCCAGTCCAGCAATGACATCAAAACGCTCCACCACAGTATCGCGTTATCTCCAGTCCCGCTCAAGCCACTTCCTGCCTTCAATCCACCCTCTGCACTTAGCCTTCATTCGCAGAACTCTGTCGAGGCACAGGCGTAATCTCTCGAAATATACAAGACTGCGTTCTGTTGGACGATCGCTTGAATCCGTAGGTTTGGTAAAGCAACCCTTATAAAGCAACCATAACTATATTGGAACCTTACCCTCTGGATTTCCATAGTTTGGGGTTAATAGCGATGACGACGTTGTTCTTGAGACCTTGCTTGTTCAAGTTCTTATCAAGTTTGCCGGGGCACACCTGATCGACCTTGGTAGATATAGCCAGTGCCTGCATTGATCTAGCTAGATCAGCAGAAATGACAAATGTGAGCATGTAGTCTTAGGTTTGTACCACTTCCCAGTGGAATTTATCGCCCGAGCTCGAAGGTAAGGGTCTTCCATTTCTCCAACATATCCAGAACATCCTTCAGATTATTTGGGTCGACAATAATGCGATTTAATGTGCGCACTCGTTACGGCGAAGGCAAACGAATACCACCTCTTTCATCAGCTTTGATACTGGAATTCCTGTCTCCTTAGACTGTTTATTATATGGCGACCCATACGGCGACCATACGACGAGCTTGTCTTGGGCAACTTTAGCTTTAATATTTGTACAATTGGTTGCAATGTGTATGCTGCCGCCGCTAAAACATCCCTCACATCCAGCGCTCATGACATGCTCCATCGTTCTCCGATCGACATAGCAGGAAGTAGCTCGAGTTCATGCTCCTTGCCAGTCACGTACATTATATCGCGGCATGGCAAATGATGACTACTGTAAAATAAACATGTACATGTCCACTCAATGTCGTTACATCTGTGTGTCTCATTGAAACAGTTAACGTCTCAACCGGAAACACATGATGCGATTCGTTCGCATTTTGCGTCGACCATGAGCGTTACAGACCGTTCACACTCTTGTTTAAGTACTATTAGTATGTTCGAAGACAATCTGGTAGTAACACCTCTCAGAAACCGAGGAACGGTCTTCGATACCCGTGTAGTCGAGAATTGGTGTCCAATTGTAGAATCGATCTAAAGCACGATAGCGATCAGATATTGAAGTAGCCCCGTAATTGTCTTGTCGATCCAAGTTTTGTGCCCCAACAAAGTTTTAACTTAGTTCCAATTCGATTGAATTCGGTGGTCGTATTTGCAGCCGTGAAAAACTTGGTACGAGAAAAATTGGACCACCTGTCCCGGCACGAATTCTAATTTTTTTCAAAATGCGTGAGAATCGACTGTCGTTTCTGTTTTTTTTTCACAATAAGGCTTTAATGCATTATACCGTATGTCGTAGTCAATATCACTGGTGCTTTAAAACATTGGAAAAGGGATTTAGATCGTAATTAAAAACTAAGCTAAATATACGGAGTTTTACCAGTTTAACAGTCGTGTCATCAATACGATGAGGTCTCCCGTTGAGAAAAAGTCAAACGGAAGGTTGATCGCTTCATTACGGTCTTCCAATAAGCAATTACGTGGAACTGACACAGCACAACTTTGGCTTCTGGATACGTTTCCATCCGTTCCCGCCATTCTACAAAGACTTTCTCAATCACAGATGACACGATGTTACGTCACCCAGGATTTTTTTCCTTGAAGTAAATAAGGATTGTCGAAATGGTCATAGTCTGCTGGTCAAGCCAGATGAAATCTAGAACAGGGAATCCCCTTCCAGTAACACTAGTCAGCACAAGACTCCCCGCAATGAAATAACTAAACCAAAATTTGACGTTAGGCACAAGGTTGCTGAAAAAAAAAAACGTCGCTATAATAATAAGGTTGCTCAAACGTTGCTGTAAAACACGTACCCAAGTGATACCCCAGATTGTTGGTGCCATGCGTGAAATCCATTGCGAGTGTCTCGCCCCACCTCTCAAACATTAATTTTTGCACCTTGGTTTGTATTACGACCCCGCCTGGGACATCCATCTGGTCTTGGAGGACGAGAACGGCGTTCCCTTCCAACTGTACCGGAGTGCGGAGAATATTTTTAATCGCTCTTCTGCTGAATCTCTTTGCCGACGATATTGCGAATTAGGTTACGGGTTTGTTGTGGTGTAATTCTGGAACCTAGTATGTAAAATAAATAAAATCACAATTAAGATTGTCGTGTTACCTTCTTGTTCTCAAAATTAAGCTTTCTCACCACTCCGGTCGTTCCGGAAGGCTAGTTTGCTTGGATGACGCTCGGGCATCGACAAGCGTCTTGACATCTTAGTGATCTTGATCATCAATTGGCAACGTTTTGTTGTGCTTTGCACATGTTTTGCCCTCTATTTTAGACTTGTAAAACAGACCCAATGGTATCTGCAAATCAGAGTTTTAGAGATGATCGTGGGGTTATTATCTAACGCAAGCTCGCACTAAAAAGACCAGTAAATTGTGCCTTCTAAAAATAATTATGCTGTCACGTGGTTT